TTTATTTTAATTTTCTTTTGAAATAAAAAATAATATAATTTATTAATACACACACATACTACTATGATATTTGTGAAGTTTACAAATACCGTTGATCTTTCAAGAATATGATGAACACTGAAGTTGTCAAAACAAAGCCTTCAAATTCTTTTGAGATTTAAAGATGAACAATTTTTTTTTAAAAAAAACCTTATTTGATGGATGATTTATATAGGCTTCAACCTTTGTATTTTTCATTTAGTTACCAAAATATCATTTTTACTTGCACACAACGCTATAATTTAAAGGATAGAACATTTTATCTATACTATATTATAAAGCATTTGACAAAAACTTTTAAAAATCATTTTTTATGCATAAAGTACTGTTTATTAATACATGTTACTTAAAACTCAAGATTACAAGTAGATTGTGCGTAAGTACAACTTATTAAAGCTCCATATCTAAATTCGTGTAACTAACTGCAAATAAATATAATTAAATACATGATAAACATCTTATTTTAAATATAAAAATTCTAAAATATAATTAGGATAATCATTAAGTTCTAACAGAATACTTAATTATTATATTTATAAAATGTTATATTATTAAACCAAAAATAAATTATTTTATTATTAAACCCAAATTAAATTATAATAACCTTTTTTTTTAAGAAATTACATAAAAAATGAGAACTTTATTAAATAGTTGATTTGATATTAACATTCATATTTTTTTTTTTCAAATTTTTATGATAATATCAAATTTGTATTCTATTCAAAAATAAAATCATTATTGCTTTCTTAAAAACACATAAAATCGTATTAAAACATCGACAGAGACAAATAATATAATAGAACATTATCGAGATGTGTCTCGCTGCATTGCGCGAGTACCCTTCTAGTAAATAATTAATTAATATGTATTTTCTGGATAAAAATATGAATAATACTATATAATTTTCGTAGGATTCAGTTACCTTGTATATAAATGTGTTTTTAGTCGACTATTACTTAGTTTTAATAATGTAAAATTTGTAGACATACCATATAAAAATAAGAAAAGTATTAGAAAACCGAAACATTTTATACAACTAGAAGGGTACGCGCGTAATGCAGTGAGATATATCTCTATTTTAATGTTATATTTTATTCTGTCTCTGTCAATGACATAATAAGGTTTTATGTGGTTTTGAGAAAACGATAATGTTTTTATTTTTGAATAAAATATAACTTAAAGATATCATAAAAATTTGAAAAAGAATATATTCATATTAGTATCAAATTAACTATTTAAAAGTTCTTGTTCTTTTTGTAATTTTCTTTAATTCAATTTTTTATTATAATTTAATTTAGGTTTAATAATGAAATAATTTATTTTTGATTTAATAATATATTTTTATATAGATAATAATTAAATATTCTGTTAGAACTTAATGACTATACTAATTATATTTTAAATTTTTTATATTTAAAATGAAATGTGTATCATGTATTTGATTATGTTTATCTGTAGTTAGTTGCACGAATTTAAGCATAGAGCTTTAATAAGTTGTACTTATGCACAATTGACTTGTAATCTTGAATTCTAAGTAATATGCACCAATAAACAATATTTTATGTATAAAAAATCGTTTTTAAAAGTTTTTGTCAAATGCTTTATAATATAGTATAAATATTAGCTTCTATTTAATCCTTAAAAAACTTATATTTGATGATTTAATAAGGGATAGACTGCACCCATATCCCTTACTAATGACACCCCTACCTCTTATTTAATCATTTCCTTTTTATTTGTTATTTTTGTTGTCTTTTTTTTATACTAATTTTCTTTTAGTTATTTCATTTAATTATAATAATATTATTATTATGAATATTATTTATTATTCTGTAAAAAAACTAATGAAAGAGTGAGTATTAGCTCATTGATCGAGCGCTCTCGTGCCAACCGTAATTTAAAAAAAAGAATAGCCTATTCAATTATGACATAAATGAAATGACAATTTTTTTTTTACTTTTCTTAGGCTAATTAGGAGACCGTATACCGGGATATTATCTATCATTTTTTTGAGTTATTCCAAAGTATCAAAATGGCCGGTGATTAATGACTAAAAAATATTATTTTTTAATTATAATTTCTATAAAAAAATATTATATGTTTTCTTTTTCCTTTTAATATTTTTCTTTAAAAAGCGTATTTTTTCTAATAATTATTTTTAAGAAAAATATGTGTTTTCTTTTTTTTAATAACGATCCTTAAAAACGTACTTTTTTCAATAATTGTTTATTAAAAAACAACCATTTTTATATACTAAACTACATAAAATTCAATATAATAATATTATTATTATTAGATCCTTACGTATTAAACAAAAAGATTTTAAAAAAAAATTATCTAGATAGATTAAAAGTCAGGGAAACCGTGACTTAAAAATCATTTTACCGCTTATTTGATCTGTGAGACAATCAAACCATAATATGTAGCATTTTTTTGGGTTGAAATGAACCAAACCAAAATTTAAAAGTTCGATGATTTATTAATTAAAAAAATATGTAAAGATGATTTTTTTATAAATAACTATAACTTTGTGAGTTGCACGATATTAATTTTTTTATATTATTTTATTTACAATTTTTTAATTACATCATTTTAAAAATATTAAAATAACTCAAGAAATTTGAAAAACTACTTTTTGTAAAATCGATTACATTTTTCAAGTTATTTTATAAAAATAACTTTTAAATTATATAATTTTAAAAAAGGTTAAAATAATTTAAGTAATTTCAAAAAAGCTCAACCATTTAATTATTAAAAAAAATGCAACATCATTTAACATAAAAAAAGTTCAACAACTTATTCAATCAAAAAATGTTAAAGAACTTAATAATTCAAAATAAAACAGTTTCTTTAATTTTTTGAACGTTTTTCTTATTTAAATTTAATACAAATGGTTTCTATAAATATCTCATCTATTAAAATAACTAATTAATCATAAAAATTAACTTTTGAATTAAATTATTTTAGGCTTTTTAAAATAATTACGATAAAACTTTAATACTAATACATATATGTAATATAATAATAAGTATATATCTATATTACCTTGTAAACCAGATTTATCAAAAGTTTTAAAAACATTTTTTAATACACAAAGTACTATACATTTATGCACAAAGTCTTAATAATAACTCATAATGTATTAAATACTACTACTTTATACATTCAGTCTTAAAATCTCTTAATCTACAATTAAAATAACATATAGTACAAATTACCAATGCACATTATTACATTTTCTTTTCATATTTTCAAGATAATTTTGACACATTTAACTCATGTTTCACCCTCTCATACATCTATGTCTTCTCCTCATCCCCCAATGTGAGATTCAAATTTATATTCACCATGAGTTATTAAAAGTTCTCTCATTCATCTCTCATTCAATTGCTCTAGAACTCTCGGTCTTGTTCTTTTGATTCTTTGCTCTTGGTGTAAATCGAACACATTTGTAGAGTCGTTTAAATATGTTGGATTTTAAATATATCGTATTTTAAACTGTCATACAATTTTTTCACTAATAGACTGTAATTGGAATCATAACTCTTATTTATTCAAATTGTATTTATATAAAGACCAAGTGTAACTTATATCATCGTTAAATATTCTCTTATAAAACCAGTGAAACTTTAAAATCATTACAATTCATGGCTCCCACTGCATTGTATGGATACACAACTAGTAATTATATAAATAAAAAATATTATATAATATGTGTAAAATATACATGAGTATATATATATATATATATATATTAAATAATAATAATAATTAAACATAATATAATATTAAATCGGTTATATGTTTTATAGATTTAAAATATTCATGATTTTCAAGCATTCAACATCCCTTATTATTCGCACTCTTTTTTAATAATTAAAATTAGGGTACTGATAAACCAGATATGGAATCTAAAGAATATTTCTATTATCATCGTCAGTTAAAGTTAAAGTTGTACTTTTAATATTTAGTGAATGATTAACGATATTCTTAAAAATATTAAAAAAAATCCTTAAATATGTGATTTAATTAATGGTATTTATATTAAAACCAAATGCAGATACTCATACACATAAAAATTATAAACATAATTGTTCGATTTTATTTTTAACAAAATATAATTATTTATTTTTTAATTAATATAAATACTTATTTTTTAAATAATATAAGTACATTTAAAGGGAACAAAATATTGTGTGAGGTGAGTGTAATTAACCCGGTGCATGTGAGTGTAAAATTCTTAACCAAGGGTAAGGTAAGCATGTGAACTACTCAAATTACTATTTGACCGGGTCCCAGTTGAAAAATTCCACCTGGCAACAGTGCAGTTTGCAGGTGGTGTCCTTTTCCTCACTGGATCCCACCACTTCCTGCTCGCAAACTATCCTCGACACGACTAACCATGCACCCACCTGTTACTTTAAAATTCCCCACAGTTTTTTATTTTATAAAAACTATTTTTTTCCATATTAAAAAAACAGTATTATAATATATTTTTTATTGGATTTTATCTAGTATTTAACATTTTAAAAGAAATACGATAATCTTGACAAATTATTAAATTTTAAATAATTAGTAATTATTACAAGATACTAATGTGATTTTTTTAATAATGGTCTTTTAAAAAATGTTTTAAATTGAACAAAAAGATTTATTATAAACCACAAAGATGATGATTAATTGGTTTGAGTTTGGGTTCCAAATGTTAAAAATACATGAAGGTTTATGTTCAAATCTTTTTGTGGTCATGGAGGTTCAAATATGGTAACTCCGAATTATCTGCAAAGCAGATGATCGCTCTAAAATTAATCGACTCATATAACGGTGAGATATCCGTATTAATAAAAAAAAATTATTAAAAAAATTGTTAGAGAAAGGATAATATAAAAGCCAATTTTCCGCTTCTCTCCGTTCCTCGTTCCCACCGGTTCCATTCAACGTCCACCTTAGTGCTCTTCAAAAGTTTCTTTCTGCTCTGTTCCTAACGTGTGCCCATGGAGAATTACTCATATACTTCCTACCCGGAGTCCGGTGGATCTTCGCCGAGATCGAGAGAAGTCGACTTCGAGAATCCACCGCCATGGGAGGATCAGTCGACCGGAAACAATAGCAACAACAACTACAAAGTCAAGCTTATGTGTAGTTATGGTGGTAAAATCCACCCTAGGCCTCATGATAACCAGCTCTCTTATGTCGGTGGGGAGACTAAGATCCTAGCTGTTGATCGTTTTGTGAAGTTTGCTGCTGTCAACGCGAAATTAACGGCGTTATGTGACGGAGAAGTTTGTTTTAAGTACCAGTTGCCGGGTGAAGATCTAGACGCCTTGATTTCCGTCACGAATGATGATGATCTGGAACACATGATGCACGAGTACGATCGGTTGAATAGAGCTTCGCCTAGTCCAGCGAGGTTGAGGCTGTTTCTCTTTCCTCTTAGTGGTCAAAGTCCGGCATTGACTCCCGTTCACAGTTTTGGTTCGACTGAGGGGAGATCGGAGCGGGAACGGTTTATGGATGCTTTGAATTCTGGTCATGTGCAGCCTAACACGCCACCGTCAGCACCGCCGCCGCATGGGAACGTGGAACGCTTTTTCGGTTCGGACAAAGGAATGCCGATGCAGCCATCTGGAGTGGCGTCAAAAACTCGAGATCAACATATCGCAGATCCGCATATTCATCCACATGAGCCCGAAATTGCTGTTCTAGATGAGCGTGGAATCGAAGCCGATCGGATCCAGAAACACATCCAGGACCTACAGAGGTTGCGAATTGGAGAAGAGCAACAACCGGCTCTCTACAGGAAACCAAGTGATGATAATCTCGGTGCTGGTTACACAGGAGACTACTATGTCCCGAAAATGACCGAAAAAGTAGCTCCGACAACATTGCCGGGAACTGTACCCGCTCCTGCTGCCGGATACCAAATTTCCGGCGGATTTACAACATCAACAATATCATCGGATCAACAACCCGTTTACATGATTCCAGCTCACGCGAGTATGTATCACGCGCCCATGGCAAGACCAGCTACCGCTCCTGTCAATCACGGCCAGGGATACTACGTCCAGAGGATGCCAACCGAGGTTTACCGTGACCAGCCCGTTTACAACGCCATGCAACCAGTACAATCGATGGCGACACAACCTATATTGCCTCCACAACAACCGCAAAAGATAACGACGCATTCGGAAGGGGTTAGGATGGTCCATTCAACAGCTGGGATGACCGATGCAGGGTATGCTCAAGTAGCGTATGATAACGGCGTCGGAAGGCATGTCTACTATACTCCACAGGGGACTATGGTGACACCACAACCAACTACACAGCAGTTTCACGCAATGGCTGCTCCATCGGCAGCATTAAATCAAGGTGGTAAGGTGGTTGCTTCGTCCAAGATCTCTCAAGGCTCTATCTGATCCTCATCAATCAAGTATGTTTTCGAATTAATACTAAATAATGAAGTCATGGTTTTTGTTTCTGCATTAATTATATATATATAATATATATGGTCATATATCTATTTGCCTTGTTCTATGTATATCTGTTTGAAAATCAATATTAATGAGTACGGCAAATATTCTCGTGTTTCCATTGATCTGTTAATTAAGTTTCCATTAATTTGTTAGTTGTTCTTGATCATCAATTTTGAATTTATATGATATCTACAAAAATTGTGTAGTAGGTTTTTATGGTATAGATTGAAGATCACATTTAATCTTAGTTTCTATATCTAATTTGTAAAATATAATATTTGATAGTACGTAATAAATAAATTAGAAGAGAGAAGAATGATGAATTCACAAGTGACAAGTGTTATCGGTTGCGGGGGGTTGTTGATATGCATGAAATGCGACTTGTGATGAGTTGCCCTCTCCTCAACAGCGATTGATGTCTACAAATTATAATGGTTGCGTTTGAAATTTAACTAACCCATCACCCAATCCAACCTTCCACATAAATAATATATTGATTGTCACTGTTTTGAATTTAATTTTGTTAAATGATGTATATATAGTTATCAATCACCTATCGTCTCATTAAAATCATGAATAAATGGTCGATTTTTAAATGTTCGTCAATTTTTTATATATAAATTAAAAAAAAAAACTCTAATTTAAATATATGTAATTTCAATCCATTTTTTATGTCATATATTTCTGTACTTGATTTATTTATTAAAATACTGTGATTTAATTATATTTAAATATCTAAAATTTTACTTAACAAATGACAAAAAAATGTTCATTAAAATCTAAGTTGCTAATATCAATTACCTACTAGCAAGAAAAATATGTTTCTAAGAGAGTTTTTGAAGCATATGAATCAATACTAAGGTTGGGTGATTTTACTTAAAAAATATTACTTAAGTTTTAGTTTCGATTCCAAGTTCTTTGTTGGTCTCAGCTGTTGAGTGAGTCAAAAAATTGTTCTCTCATATTGGTGTTCTTGAAGGTGGATTCTGTATGGGACCATTTGAAGTTGCCGATAATTAACTTTTCTCACAAATAATGTTATAGTCAGTGGTGGATCTACAAACTTCGGTAGCTGACTAGCTAGAGTTAGATTTAGGTGTTGAAGTATTCAGAAACCGAATAACCCACTAAAACTAAAATGGTTTTGAATTAAACGGTTCAGTTTCAGTTATTCTTTTATTACAACAGTTAAATCGCATAGCAAATTAAACCATAATTTTATATATACTATATCTAGATAATTGGTTTGAGACGTTGAGCATATCAAACAATTAATATATGATAAACATGTTTTTAAATCTTTTTAAATTTTGATTTGAGGTCAAGAGACCCCATTAGTTTATATGCGGCTCCGCTGATTATAGTTTAGAATTTAGCAGACGTCATTATATATATATATATATATGTGTATATATATATTTTTTTAAGATTTATAGCTTAGATTACACTTATAAATGATTTAAATATATAATAATAAAACCATATGGGTGGTGTTTGATTGGTTTGATCTTGCGTTCCAAATATTAGAAGTGTCTAGAGGTCTCAGGTTCAAATTGAAAGAAGAATAAAAATTCTCTTGTAACCACAGAGGTTCAAAGACGATGACTTCTTCAGACTACCCTCAAAGTAGGCGCTTGTCATGAAATTAGTCGACTCGCATAACAAATTATATATTCAGATCAATGAAAAATATAATATAATAATAAGAATTTGTGGACAAAAAAGTGGATGGGTGTTCACGTGTGGTTTCCAAATCTTATTAAAAAGATATGGAGACGAAATATGTTTGATTTTTGTTGGGAAAACATAATAATAATGGTAATAGTAGTAGTATGAGTTTGTTCTGAGTGGGTTTGGCTTTATTCATCATTTTCATCCATCAATTAATTGAGCTTCTTCTCGAGTCTTTTCCATATCATCATGTTTGGCTTGTTTTTGAGTCACCAATTTCCGCCTAATTCGCTCCCTTCTATCTTTTTAGTCTATTGCTCAACTGGTATATATGCCACTCATGAAATAACACAAGATTTTTCTAATATGCATCTTGCAAATAGTTTATTGGCAAGGATTTATTTTGAGTCCCTCACATATTGGACATGGGCGCTTTGAGTCCCTCAAATACTCGGTAGCTGAATAAGGAAAGGAAATACCTTGGAAGGACTTGAAGTAACGAATAGCTAAGGAGCTGTTTGGATCATATGAATTGGAATATCCAATCCTTTGACCAAATTCCATACGGAGTGTTTGGTTCAATGGAATAAGATCATGGAATCATTTCAATTCCGGTCAATTCCTTCATGCACAGATTTCACCATTCCACGACAACATGCTAGGATTTCAATTCCTTTCCTTACAGATTCATCCTCTAATCCTCTAATCCAAATTCATTGAACACCTCTACCATCTCATCTACTGCATTTCTGGTTCGATCTCCAGGTACGCTCTCTCTCTCTCTCTCTCTCTCTCTCTTTCTCGTAAACAAAATTCGATCGCCAATCTAGTTCGATCTTCAATCGATCTCTGATTCGATCTTCAATCGCTCTCTGGTTCGATCCAAATTGAATGGATTAGGGCACCGATCACTTCTTTAAACAAAATTTAGTGAACAATTTCAGATATTATTAATATAAGTGAACAATTTCAAATTTTATCTGATGTCAATAATGTAATTTGGTTTAATGGTATTTTTTTAAAAAAATGACAAAAAAAAATCATAAAAGGTCATTTGTTGATACTTAATTCCGATTCCAAAGTTGAATTCCGTGAACCAAACAAAAAAATTCCAATTCCGTTAAGAATTCTATTCCAATTCCATGCAACCAAACGCAATCACAGGACAATGTCAAATTCCATCAGATTCCATTTCATTCCCTCAAAGTCAAATTCCTTTGATGAATTCCAATTCCATCGAATTTCATTCTACGAACCAAACGCCCCCTAAGTTTCGTAAAAGAATCTGATCAAGTTGTGGATGGAACAGTTAACAGCTATGAAACAAAGAGATTCCTCTATTCAATGTATAATAGAAATATTAAGGGTTTGTTTGTTTCGTGGAAGTCAAAGGATTTCAAGAGAATTGGAATGATGAATTCGTTTGACCAAATTTCAATTCTTTTGTTTGATTCACATATTGAAAATGTGAGAATACTTTCAATTGCATTGAATTTCACAAATTAATGAATTCCTCATTCGTTGACATAAGTGAAGGAATTTAATTACATCACATTTGCATACAATCACGCCCACCCCTAACCCCCTCCAACACGACTATTGTCGCCATCACAACCGTCACCGACCCCAACCCCTTACCCACCACTAATCACCGTGCACCTATTGTCGTTATCAAAGCCCACACCCTGACACTCGACCATCATGCCACTATTATCGTCGTCATAGGCTCACAGCTACCACCCCAACCCCAACCACCCACCCCACCAACCACCATGCCTTTATTTTTGTCTTCACAGCTACCACCTACCAACGTAGGGTCGAGGGCGAGGTAGGGCTGGGGCGTCACTGCCCACTACCAATATTGCTACTGTAATTATCGCAGCTTCCACCTCCACCCATCCACCAACCCCCACCTACAACCACCAATATCTAATGTCGTCGTCACATCTGCCACCCCCCACCACCACCACCACCACCACCACCCACGCCATCATCATCATGTCAATGTTGTCATCGTCACATCTATCACCCCGACCCTTCCTCCCTCCCAAATAGAGATGGAGATTTTCATTCTTTTGAGAGATTCCATTCTTATTCCTTCAAAGTCAAATTCTTTTAGTGAATTATAATTCCACGAAATTCCATTCTGAAAGCCAAACCCCTTAAAGTGTCGTTTGGTTCGAAGAATTCAAAGGATTGTAAGGAAATTAGAATTATCAACTTCTATGACCAATATCCAATTCTTTTATTTGGTTCACATATTGAAATTAATAGAACCTTTTTAATTCATTTGAATTCTACAAATTAATGAATACATCATTACTTGACATAAGTAAATGAATTGAATTCTATCTCTATGCATCCAATTTAACCAACATCACTCATCCCCTTCTCGCTTCTTGCCCCCACCAAGACCATGCTACTATTATCACTGTCATACCCCAACCTCTAACCCCCCCCCCCACAACCATACCACTATTTGTCGCTGACATAACCCCCACACACCCCCAGCCTACACCAATCAATCACTAATCACTATGCTACTACTGTCATCATCACGACTGCCACCTCCACCCCTCGTCACCCCTACAAAACTTTCATGCCACTACTTTTATCGTCACAACTACCAACCAGCCACCCACCCTTGACCACCATGCCACTACTATCGTCATATTCACCATCCTACCCCCTACCTACCCACCCTAATGACCATCATGCCATTATTGTCTTCAGTCATAATTATCACAACTGGGATGACCGGTGCATAAAGTGAAGTACTTTGACATGTTAAAGTTTTAGAGAGGTTAGGATGAACTCACAAGTTAGGTTTTGAAGATAACCTAGAAACTTAGCAAAAATGGTGAAAAGGAAAAGTAGATCTTGAATCCTAAGCTTGACCACTTGAATCTTGCACTTAACACTCTTGCACGACTCCAAGGATCACCAAAATATGACTTAAATGCTATAGGGGTCGAATTTACAAAGGAATAAATAAAGAGAGAATGAGGGAGATGAGTTATGACATTAAACCCTAAAAAACCGGCTTCTTAAATGAACCAGACCACTTACTGCAACTTTCGTCATGACTTAGGTCACGATGGTTAGTCGCCCACGTGCTCTAGATCAAACATTCTAGTGAGTCGTGCGGCTTGTGTCACAGCTTTATCCGCGTGGCTACCCGTGGGACTCACAGTTTCAGTCCCAAATCTCAAGTTTCTCAAGGTAAAACTTGCATTGACTTCAACATTTAATAATTGAATTCTAGAGTGTTAAAATGCATCTATGAGCATCGAATCAAGAGTGATAAAATGTTGGATTCCTTAAGTTGCAATTCCTTTAGGGCCCGTACGCTTTTGGATTTGAAGTTAGATTCCATTCCAATCACGGTTTTAATTTAAAGGAAAGTCCGGAGAAATCATACAAACACTGGATCTAGAAATCACATAATT